AATCAAGTCATTAATAAGAATACATGTTTTAGATATCTTGGGTCTATTATTCAGAATTATGGTGAAATAGATGGGGATATTATTAGTAGAATTCAAGTTGGATGGTTGAAGTGGCGGAATGCATCGGGCTTGTTATGTGATAGAAATGTACCCCTCAAACTTAAGGGAAAATTCTATAAGATGGTAGTGAGGCCTGCAATGCTTTATGGTGCCAAATGTTGGCCATTAAAAGAGAAGCATAATTCTTTGTTAAGTGTGGCAGAGATGAGGATGCTCAGGTGGTTGAGTGGCTTTACCCTTAGAGATAGGATATGAAATGAGCATATACGTGAAAAGGTTGGAGTAGCTCCAGTAGAAGATAAGATTTAGAGAAAGTCGTCTTAGATGGTTTGGTCACATAAAACGGCGGCCTTCTGATGACCCGGTTAGGAGAGTAGAGGTATTAGATTTGACTTATGTTAAGAAAGGTAGGGGTAGACCTAAAAAGACTTGGTTAGAAAATATTAGGAATGACCTTTCTTTATTAGATTTAAACGATAGTTTGACTTTTAATAGGACACAATGGAGAAAAATGATTCATGTAGCCTACCCCACATAGTGGGATAAAGGCTTGATGTTGTTATTGTTGTTGCGATTAATAGAACACAATGGATAAAAAAGATTAATGCAGTTGATACCATGTAGTAGGATAAAGCTTGTTATTATTGTTGTTGTACACACATGCACTCAGTAATACTTTGATAAAAGATTTCCTATATGTGGCCGAGAAAATAAAAAGGAGTGTTGCATTAGGACTTAAGAAGCGGACTTGAATTAGTAGAGAAGGAATAGAGAGAGAAAAAGTGAGTGTGTCTGTGGAGAGGAAAATGAAGAGAGGATGAGATATAAAAGGAAAGAAGAAAGAACTTTTTTAAGGCCCATTTTATATATGTGAAGAACTATCTTGATGCAAGGCAAGTGCGGTAGTGCCACAAATGATGCAATAATAGACATGCATGATGGAACCTTATGAGGAGATTTCATGTGGATAATTTATGTTCTCTCTTGAGCATGGTTTAAAATTGCGCAATAAAAGGCGCGCCTCAGCGCAATATGGTCCATTTAAGCCTCAAAGCCCACGCAATAAGTTCAGATTTTGAGGCTTAAGCCTCAAGTTTACTGACGCGCCTCGCCTCACATATTTGAGGCGCCGCCTCTAAAAAAGCTAACATAATATATTTTTGTTCAGTTCATACCCCTCAATTGCCGATGTGGATTTCCTAGTGAAATGTCGACGTGGCATCAACATTTAAACCCTGGTACAGGTAAAATGGAAGAAAAAATTTACAGTTCATGCGGCGTTTTGGTTTTCAACTTCCAACATACGTTTCAAGCATTCACTCAAGAGCAATTTCAAGCATTCACTCAGTTCCTTCTCAGATGTCCTCACCCCCAAAGAGAAAGGTAATTTGTTTGCATGTTTTCTGTTCATGTTCTGCGTATTGTATGCTTATGCTATGCATAGGTGTTCAGGGTTTTGAAGTTCTTCGTATTTTATGCTTACGCTATGCGTATGCATTCCTTCTCGAAACTTTGTAAATGTTTGATACTTTGATGTCATCGTATTTTCTCTGTATTATGGTTTATGAATTTATGTTGAAATTTGAAATCTAAACCCTAACTAAATTTTAAGTTTTTAACAATTAAACCCTAAACTTTTAAAATAGAGTAGTTTGTGCTAATTTTGCGTGTAGGAAGTGTACGTTGTGCATAAGCACTGAGTACTCTATGCGTATGTTATGCGTATATTGTGCATGTTTGTGCGTATGTTGTGAGTATTCTATGCGTACATTGTCATGAATGAAGCCAAAGAGATGATTGCCTCCAACTTATGAGGCAATGAGGGAAGCTTTAGAAAAATTTAGAATATTATTGATGATAGGTGGGAGCTACAACTTCACCGACACTTGCATGCAGTTGGATATTACCTAAACCCTCAGTATCAATATGCAGAGAACAAGTCTACAAACCTTGATAAAGTTGGGATTGTATCATTGCATGGATCATCTAATAAGTGATGCAACTGAAAGATCAAATGCTGACATGCAATTGGTACCTTTTAGGAACAAATAAAGCTTTTTTGGATTACAACAAGCAAAAGATACAATTGCCAAACGATCTCCAGTTGAGTGGTTGATTCAATTTGCTGATGGGACTCCAGAATTGCAGCATTTTGCTGTGAAAGTTTTGGGCTTGACATGCACTTTATCTGGCTATGAAAGAAATTGAAGTACCTACAACTAAGTACATACAAAGAGGAGAAATTGCTTGTCGACATTGAGGATAAGATCACTGGTGTGCATTATGTACAATAGGAGACTCAAATATAGGAATTTGAAGAAAAAATGATTGATGGATGATGAAGATCCTTTGCTTTGCGAGGATGTGGCATCTGATGATGAGTGATTTATAGATGATGAAATTAAAGTGATGTCGTCTGAATTACAAGATGAAGATTTAAATGTTGATTTCTTTGATGGTCTTAAAGCATCTACATCCACCACAACTCAAGAACAAATCAAAAAAGGTATATAAATAAATCACTTTTCTTAGACATTTATTATTGTATTACACTATTATTCATTATGATATTTTTCAAAAATATTTAACGAAGAGGACGATAACTGATAATGAGGAAGAAGGAGCTGATTGGGAGACATTGGACTCTATAGGAGAGGAGGAAGAGGAGAGAGCAGTTCATCATAATGATGATTCAAATGAAGACCCACTTAGTGACAACTGATGAGTGATGACAGTGTTGATGACCAGTGAGTTCTTATGTGATATGTTAATGTCAATTGCTATTTATCTTGTGCATTTTTATATTTTATATATTATTTACTCATTAGTATATACAAAATTAATCATTTTATGTTTACGCAATTTTTTGATTTTAAGGCTTACGCCTCAAAACGCTTTGAGGCTTACGCCTCGCCTCACGAACGAAAAACGCCTCAATACCCAATTACGTAATTTTAAACCTTGCTCTTGAGTGATTCTCACTTATGTTTAGCATGAGTTGGGCTCTTCATTTTTGAGGTGAAATAGACTATACTTAATTTTGGGGAGTATTTTCTTGTGCCCCACTTAGTTGGTACATCTATGTGGCTTCTTCATGGTGAATCAAATTTTCTATCCTCTCCCATTGCTATTAGTGTGTTTCAGTCAAACCAAATATCTTGGTGTCTTCATGTGGTGTTTGATCTCTTTAATTAATTGTATTAATCATATTCACTACTGTAAAAACACTTGCATTAAAGTAATGTCTTTCATAACAAAGACAATTACCACACCTTATCTAAACATTCACAAGATTACAGGATTAGGTAGCACACTACCACCTGATAATGGTATTTAGGTTTAACAATGTGAATACCATCATTGAACATGTGTTATATTTTAGGAAAAGCCTAAAATAATCACCCAACTATTCGTATGTGTCCAATTTAGTCCTAATCATTACATTTCTCCAATTTAGCTCATCGACTACACAAAATTGATCTCAAATAATCCCCAAGAAATTGATGGATTTGGGATACAAGATTGATCCCAATTTAATCTCTCGACTCTACAAAATTTATTTCAATTTTGTACCTAAGCTATCATTTAGGGTCAATTTTGCGTGGTTGAGAAACTAAATTGAAAAATATGATATTGAGACTACATTGGCTGCATATGAATGGTCAGAGTACTATTTCGAGTTTTTCCACACTATATTTTTCAAAAGCTCATAGATGTAGTATTTTGCCTAATCCTTTAATATAAGAATCTTTTTATGATGTATGATGAGTTTAACAGTAAAGCAAAGAAGTGCTTCACAGCTCAAAAAGTTGACAAAGTTATCCAATAAGTAGACAAGTAACTCTATGATTGTTGTTTAAATTAATGAAAGTAGGCAGGAAAAGTAAAATCGGTCTCTCTAATTAGGTTATGAAATGGACCAAACTTTACCACACTAATTTAAGAATCTTTTGATGATGTATAATGACTTTAACAGCAAACCAATGAGGTGCTTCACAGCTTAAAAAGATGATGAAATTATTGGATAAGTAGACCAGTAACTCTATAATTGTAGTTTCAACAGATGAAAGTAGGAGAGATAAGTAAAATCTGTCTCGCTAATAATGTTATGAAATAGACCAAACTTTACCTGTGCACTATGAATTCCAAGGAAGAAGTATCTATAGATAGTTCCCACTACAAGATACCCTCCCAGAAGGCAAATAATTCTGCAGAAAAAAGATGAAGTCTGTTCATTATAATATTTTCTAGATAAGGGAAAATAATAAGAATGATAAACACGAGTGCAGCAATTTCTAAATGAACTATTTTACAAGACAAAAAAAAACATACATAGTCATTAAAGTTCCAAACCACCCCCATCCTTTTCCATTAGCAGAAATGATTCTCGCACAACCAGATGGATGCCTAAGTTCTGTTGCCTACAGATAAAATCAATATGTATGAATTACAGTTAAATAGTCTGCCTACTCTATGATGCGTTTCAACCTTTTAGAGTTCCATTTATAGCTTCAGTTCAACGGTTAAATATATATCAAGTACAACAAATAACTATACAACTGAGAAACATAAAAAAAAAAACAAAAAACTATCACAGTTAAGGAAAATGATGCTCAAGCATATAAGACGGGTAGAAATAATGACATAAAATTTTGTGATGTTCTCACATCTCACAAATCTTATCCCAGACTAATTAGTATAGCCGCACACAAGTAAATTATCAGTGGGACCACAAGATTCAATGGATAGCAACTACAATGAGTTAATAGACCAACAGATTGAGTTTTAAATGCAGTGAAATAACTTGAATACTCTTTCTCAGGCCTGAAGAAAAATGATTCTCGATTTGGTGGGAGTTTCATATGTATTATGTAAGACATAAAATTTAGTTGTCAATATTCACAGATCATAGAAATTGATCAAGAAACTGCATAAAACAATGACCATGATCTTTTGCAGTTGCTATAAAACATTCTCTTATTATTCTGGTAACGCTACAGAGCGCACCCAATGCACAGACAGATTTTGAAACAAAATTAAATCTGGAGCAGCAAGGATATCAAATTTTCTGATTACTGTTCAAAACATTGAGATTTGTCTGAAGCATTGCAATATATAAGATTTTTTTTATAATTGCTAATAACCTAAAATGGCATGTTAGAAATGGAAATCAATGGTGTGATGTAAAAAAAAAAAATTCGTGTGCTGTTAATGTTGGGTCGGCCAAACATATTAAAATAACTTGCCAATGAATCCTAAGGCACAAGTTGATGACTTGCATTAGTATTGGTCTCGTTTCAACGAGTTATAGTTATTCTTCTATTATCTTCTCTATTGAATCGAAAAAAAAAAACAAGACAAGAAACGACATAAAATGTTTCTCTGATCATAAAATTAAATGCCAAGAGAATAGATTCAATAGGTGTAATTTAAGGTTGAAAAAAAAAGGAAATAAACATAATCCATTTCTCTAATAATTTGATTCAATGCCAACAGAAAAGAATCTATAGGTTCCTCCTTTAACAACACTTCTGTGGTTGTCATTTGTCATTTAGGACACTAATGTAATTTGCTTTTTGCTATCTACCTCGATGGTTGATACAAGGGAACTTTCTACAAAATGATTCCTCCGAGTTATTCTGAGCTAGTATTGATTATAAAAAGCTTTATGGGATTTCGGCATCCTTTCATGAATGTTGAGGATTTCATCCCTAGCTCTCATTCCCCAATATAAGTATTCAAATCCAACACTGTTTAAAAAAAAAAAAAAATCCTAAAACCTGCTACTAAAACCTACAGCCATTCAAATTCAATTTGTCAGTCTCCACAAAATCAGCTCCAAAAAATTAAAATTCAACAAGTCACCACCATGGTTTAAAATTGCGCAATATGAATGAGGCTCGCCTTGAGGCCCGCCTTTGCGCAATTCAAGTGAAAAGCGCCTTGAGGCTTATGCCCCAAGTTTTTTTTATGAGGCTTGTGCCTCAACTTGGTTGAGGCCCACCTTAAGGCGTGCCTCGCCTCACTGGCGTGAGGCTTACGCCTCACCCAATATATATTAAAACTTACATAAATCTTGAAGTAAAGCCGCGAACAAATCACACTTCATGTATCCCCTAGTCTCAACAACTTCTTCTCAACTTCCTTAACCTCTAACCCATCTCCTTCGCCACAATCACCAACCTCAAGCCTCCTTCAAGGATCACTTGAAAGCTGCACACCGCCACCACCTCTAAAAATTTTGGAGTATTAATCTCATCTTTATGTTGATGAAAAATATTTTTGAAAGAGGAAAATGGTTGAAATAAATGAAGAAGAAGTATATTGGGAGGCATTGGACTCCATAGATGAGCGGGAGAGATCAATTTGTTATAATGATGACTCAAACAAAGATCCCCACAGTGATGACAAAACAGATGATTTTTTAGTTGCCAACTTTTCAGCCTTGTTTAAAAATTAAATGTAGATGAGTAGGGAATTGCGAAATAAAGAGTTTGAAGTTAAACTTAATGTTATATGATATTTTTATGCAATTTCTATATTTAATAATTTTTTACTAATGTAATATTTGCATTTCAAGTATATTTCATGCAATTTATCACTAGCCACTTTACGTCTCGTGCAATTTTTTATTTCATATGTATGTCATTGTGTTATTTCATAGTTCAATAGAAAGATAATGCCATTTTTTAACATATTATTTGAGTATTATATAAAAATTTACTTTTAACATTTATTTGCACTTAAATAATTTTTTAATTTTGAGGCTCACGCCTCAAAACATCTTGAGGCTTACACCTCGCCTTACAAACAAAAAATGTCTCAATACCTAATTGCGCATTTTTAAACATGGTGATGACAGTGCTGATGACTTATGAGTTCTTATGCGATATGTTATTACTATTTATTTTTGGAATTATATGTTAATGAAAAGAATATTGTGATTTGGGAAAGATGGAGTTTGAGTTGAACTATATTTCATGTTGTCTTATTATTGGGATATTTTGATTTCACTTCATATCTTGTGCATTTTTATATTTTATATATTATTTACTTATTAGTATATACAAAATTTATTATTTTATGTTTACGCAATTTTTTGATTTTGAGGCTTACGCCTCAAAACTCCTTGAGGCTTACGCCTCGCCTCACGAACGAAAAATGCCTCAATACCGGATTACGCAATTTTAAACATTGGTCACCACCATAAATAGCCTACTATAAAATAAAAAATCAAACAAATGTACAAGAGACTACATTTTATTTCAGACCATGAACCACTTTATGAAGAGCCTAAATAATTTACTATTTTTCAATTCAAGTTCTTAACAACTCTCCAATCATTCATATTCAATACCTAACATCATCCAATCCAACTAGGTTTCTCTACGAATGTTGGATGATGCTTCAGTTGATATTCTGACCTTTTCTTTGGATCATCCTACTCCTTTTGCACCCTCATCTCCTCGTTGTCCAATATTTGATATTCCTAGGGTTTTGACTGAATCTTCAGTTCAATTGTCACCTTCTCCAATTGTCCCTTGCATCTCAGAGGGTCTGAAACTATTATTGCAACCAACAACTTGATTCCTCCTACCATGTAAGCCCTTAAGGTTGATTCCTTCACTAATATTGTTGGGAGATTGAAGGCTTTTGGTTGTAAGCAGGCTTCACCTACTCATTTTCCCTTGCTATCATCAAAATCAACCTCCTCAACACAAACAACCCTCCATATTTTATGGCAACCCAACTCTTATTTACTCAGATGCTCAGATTTCCGAGCCAGCTGCTCCATTTTCCTTATTCATCACGGTTAAGTTCTTGATGGGGCTCCCCAATCTTGAGATTATTTGTTCATTTTTGTCAGATTTGCATTTCATTGGTTAATATTCTATCAGACTTCTTGATCCTCATCATATTATTATCAAATTATCAGCTAACCAGATAACTGTAGACTTTTTTCTCCTCTAGCTTGCTATGTATGTGGTTATTTGATGCAAATGTAAATGTGGTCTCCTCACTTTAACTAATTTATGGAACCTCTTATCACTTAGGTTTGAGTTTATTTTTCTCCACTTCAACCACACTATTTTAATCAATCTACATTTTATTCTCCAGGCTCAATCTGTGGCAAACTATTGCAAGTAGTGTGGTCCAGTTTGACTTTCTAAATCTTATGTGGCAATGATTCTAGTTGAGATGGATATTATTCTGATTCTAAACAGGAAGGTTTGGATTAGATCACCCTCTTGTGGATATTAACAAAATGTTGAAATTGAATGCATTTTATTCTATTGCACATCTTACAAAAATTTTGGAAGCAAATATTCTGATTGCTTCAAAACTCATCCAGATTACGAAATTAATCTGCTATTAGTTCAGACAGTCATGTTTAAAGGGAGTATTTAGATAATCAAAACCTATCACCACCACTCGTGTAGGTTGCTACTCCATCCTCTTCAACATCAACCATAACCTTCTTTGATAACTCAAAATCACCATCTCTTTGTGATCTAAGAGTGCTTATATTATTTCTGTAATAACGTTTTTGTCGTAGCTCAAAATAAATTTCATAAGTATTCTTCATAAAGAGTATCAATCCATGTTCATGGTTCAGATTAATCTTTTTCATAAGTAATCTTATCATAGGAGCGGTTACGTGAGTTCCTAGTATTTTTATCATGATTAGGTCATTGGTAAACTCTAAGACTTGGATCATTCAGCATAATATTATTTGCCGAGGAAGTACACCTTGACCCCACCGCATGAGGTACAATTGGCTCAAGTGTTTGGGAGCCTATCCCAATAATAGATCAATTTCATTGGACAATTCATCCTTGATGGTTGCCAACTAAATATGGAAGGGATGTGCCTTCACCAAAGTCCCTTTGTATTTCAATTAGGTTTCATAGTAATTAGATTTGATGAAAAATAGAGCATCAGATCAACCCATAATATAACTGAAGTTATTCTCAAGGATTTCTACAAGTATTGGAAGCTATCCTACGATTTTTAGGTTTTTTCCCCATTTAGCTCAATTACTCAATAGATTATAATGGCTAGTTACAACCAAGCTGAAATTATACACTTGGCCTGTGGGTCATGAAGTTGTTGCTTCTAATGTGTCCAGGGCTTTACTTTGGAGTTCACCTTTCTAATCATCATTCTTGTAGATATGTCTCAGAGGCATATATCACATCCTATATCTATAAATTACATTCGGAAAGTATAAAAAAGACTCAATCCTACAATTCAAATATTATGAAGCATATAACATTTATAAATATCATCATATAGTTGTCTGACACTCATAGAGTCAAGCTAGCTTCTATCCTATCTGCCATGCCTACTTACAGCTTTTAAATAATGCTTGCAAGAAAACTTGTTAGATGACAATTATTTATTATTCACCTCTTTTGGGCATGGCCACCTATATGGAAGAGCATATATCTCTATTATTCAAGCACTTAAAACAAGTGTCCGCAACACAAAATTTATATCAATCATCACTTAAACATCACAATCACATGCACAAAAGAGAAAAAAAATCATAATCCTCGAATGCCTAGGAGTTGTGTATCTTGTGTGAGCTGCTTGTGTGGCTATCAGAATATGAATGAGTGTTTTGTTTTACTGTGGAATAGGAAGAGATTTAATTTTTAATCCAAGGGTTACTTCACTTTTAAGTTGTTTGTGACTTCAATTTTTTTTTTTATTTACTTTTAAAGGTGCATCATATTTTTTAAGGGTAATGAAAGATTAAAAAAGTGGAATGACTGCATCATTGATTCTTGAGATTTTATGATTGAGATTCTATGAATGGCAGGCTTACCTCAAAGCAAGTACCGACAAAGTGTCCATCAGTAACCAATCGAACATAAACAAGCAGTTGCATTTGTGAGTGGAGTTTGTGTGGATTTTGTTCAAATAGAGGAAAATAAGATGAAAGAGGGTCTGTGCAATTTCACTCGACAGAGAGGAAAAAAGAGAGAGAGTTAAGAGGCAAGGAGAGAGACAAAGGCAGAGAGAAAAAGAGGAGAGAGAATGAGAAAAGATATGAAATTGTTCACCTCTGACTTTGCTTTCAATGACATTTGGCACCTTCGATGTTGTCTACGATATTGTTCAATTGCTTTGACATTGCATTGGAAATCTTTGACACCTAGTTGGACAAGGAGGCTAAAATATCCTGTTTATAACATAGAGGTAATATTTATTTAGGTTTTCAACCATAATTTTATAAAACCTGATTTTGATTTTTTCTTTTTTTAATATTGAAGAAATTTGTACCAGGAAGATTAAGAGTAGAGGAATTGAATGGAAGTTTAATTGTGATCAAGTAGCACAAAATTTAGGTGAAGGCCTACACGATGATTTTATAAAAACTTAAAAGGTATTGACAATATATTCATCTAATTATCTTTATATATATGACACCAGAATTTTCAATTTAAAATCTTTCAACATGTATAAGCTCCAAACTTTTGTTTAACTAAAAAACAGTAGTGTCAGAACTTCTAAGTATAGAAAATAAGTAAATTAAGGTACAGTGTTTGCATAAATAGTGCAGGTAATTTTGTAGTTTAATTCTTTCTAACAAATTAAAATGATAAGAATTTGTTTTATGTATCAATATGATTATGGTATTCAATCGGTGAAGTTTTAAGGATTAAAGAAGAAAAGATAATTGTCTGAGATCGAGGTTGGTTACATGATAGAAATGATATAAATGCTAAAGAATACTCAAGTGAATTATTTCTTTCATTTGCATAATTACACTCTTTAATTACATCAAGGATCAACCTTAAGCCCATATCTTTTTTCTTTAGTCATGGATGTTCTCACAAGACATTTGTAAGAGGTTGTACCCTAGTGTATGCTTTTTGTGATATTTTTCTTGTTGATAAGACGAGAGGAAGTTGAAGATAAACTTGAATTATGGAGGTCAACCTTAGAGTCTAAAAGTTATCGTTTGAGTAGATCTAAAACTGAATATATGGAGTGTAATTTTAATAGTAATAGATCTAATGAAGGGATTGTGATTTTGGGCAAACAAATCATTAATAAAAGTACATATTTTAGATATCTTGGGTCTATTGTTCAGAATGATAGTAAAATAGATGGGAATATTATTAGTAGAAATCAAGTTGGATGGTTGAAGTGGAGGAATGGACCGGACTAGTTGTGTGTTAGAAAAGTCCCCGTCAAACTTAAGGGAAAATTTTATAAGATAGTCACGAAACCAGTAATGCATTATGGTGCAGAATGTTGGCCATTAAAATAAAATCATAATATTAAATTAAGTGTTGTAGAGATGAGGATGTTCAGGTGGATGAGTAGCTTTACTCTTAAAGAGAGAATATGAAACTAGCATATACGTGAAAAGGTTGGAGTAGCTCCAGTGGAAGATAAGATTAGAGAGAATCGCCTTAGATGGTTTGCTCACATAAACCGGAGACCTTCTGATGATCCGATTACGAGCGTAGATATATTAGATTTGACGTATGTTAAGAAAGGTAAAGATAGACCTAAAAAGACTTTGTTAGAAAATATTAGAAATGACCTTTCTTTATTAGATTTAAATGAGAATTTGACTCTTAACATGACACAATGGAGAAAAAGGATTCATGTAGCTGACCCAACGTAGTGGGATAAAGGCTTGATGTTGTTGTTGTTGTTGCATAATTACACTCTTCAAAATTTACATTAACATGAAAATATTTAATTAAAAATCATACATGTGTAATTAAAATATAAATATAAGAACATAACTGAAAGGAATATATTGAAAAGACGTGTGTGCATGTTAAACAAATAAATTCACCCCTTATGATACTAAGGACAAAATGATTGGCGCATGTAAAATGGAAGAGATTAGAAAAGAAATGAAATGATTGTACCTTAACTAGTGCAAACTTTAAACGGTACTCCTCAGTTAAGTGTTGCATTAAAAGATTAAAGTGAAAAAAAAAACCATAAATGTTATATTCTACAAAATGATGCTTCTTTTATCTTATCAAATACGCATCTTTAAATTCTCATAAATAAAAAGTTTCATGATTATTTCAGATGACTCATATGCATATTATTATCTATTTATTTGAAATGGATATATTATAAACTATAATTAGCCACGAAGTTAGTTGTTTGAAACTCAACCAATTAAATTAATATATCAGGTAAGATTCCTCCAGAAATAGCCGACAAAGAAGATTTTGTATAAAGAAGAAAAGATGTGAATGAGAATATGTATGTAATGATTCTCTATCATGGGTTTCAATTCAATTTTTTGAAATTTTAGAATAGATTTGAGTTGTATATGGTTTAAATTATGATGGATAATTAGTGGCTCTTTGTAAATTTCGAAAGATATTTTATTGGATTGTTGTAACTATTGTTTGAAAGAAATTTAACTACATCTAACCTTTAGTTCCCGACTTGATAATTCAAGAACTCAGTCCAAATTGTGACACAAATAATACAAAATTCTTCTGTTCAATCTTAAATGCAGCAAGTGTCATAGTGAATTAGAAGTAAGCATGCAATGAAACCAGTTCGAATGAAAATACGATGAATGCAACTAATTGGAAAATTAGAAAGTGACGATTTACATGCAAATTATGGTTTGATATCAAATGCAAAAACTTTACCTTTCATTCAATGCTCATTTAATTGTCCCAAGCTAACTTCTTAGATCCTAATTTATAGTGAAATGACACTAGGGTTATAAAAAAATCCCGCATAAAAAATTACAGTAAAAATAACAAGGCATGGATTAAATCTAATAAAACAAATTCAATTATTTCTTAAATAAAAATAATGCTATATAAGTCAATGGATTATTTAATCAATCACTCCATTGAAGTCAAGCATAAGTTCAAATTGGATGGCTGTAATCAATTATACATGTCAATATTTGTGTTTGCATCTATGATGCACAGACACGGATACATCACGACACAGATACGGGACACGTCAGTTATTGAAAATATAAGACTTGGACACGGGTTGGACACGGTATTATAGTTTTTATATTTAAAAAATAGTGTATAAAAATTAAATAAGTATAATTTTAAAAAAACTGAAAATAATAAGTCAATTAACTAGAAATTGTGCTTAAAATGATTAGTATTAGGATGTTAAGAGTCAGATGTTGATGTCGTTTATCAGTCACTGAGAGTGGAGATGAAAAGACCTTCATTGCCAAAAAGAAATGAAAATAAGAATATTCGATGATTGGGTATTAAGTGCGGACGTTGATTTGGTGTTGTGGATAGGAAATAAGAAATATAGTTTAAATCCCGTCAAATACAAGAAATTATATTTTAAAAAAATCATAAAATATTTAAGATACGTGTGTCGGACACGCGTGTACAATTTGTATTTAATATTTTTTAATCGGACACGTTTTCAGCGTGTCCGACACGTGTTGGAGGAGTGTCAGACGAGTGTCGTGTCAGATACGGTGTCAGACACTGCATGCCTCTTTGAGGAGAAGGGTCGGTGCATCATAGGTTTGCATCTGTGTGTTTCGAAATAAGTGCAAGATAAGTTCTTGAACTATGTAAAAGTTGTTATGAACTCAAATTTAACATCACTGGTTGCTCCCATCCCTTTAAATATGACAGTTTTCCAAAGTTTCAATAACATATGTTATAATATAGATAGCTAAGAATAGGTCAACCTTCATTTTGATTCTTTAACACTCTTAATAGATGAATTATTATCCAGGGGCTCTGCTGGCATGAAAATCTCATAATTTCAACCATCAAGCTAACTTTCCACTGCTCTTGTTTAGCTTTCGAAAAAAGAAAGTGAATGACTAAAATGGATATTACATCTTTACTTTCGTTGAGAGCATCAAAACGGATTTAGATCATCAAGGGATACTCACATAGTCGCAGTCCCCTGTAATTGTCAATGAATTTGATACCTGGAAAGCAGATAGAAAAATAAATAAACTAATAAATAAATATCTAAATATTTCAACATTAACATGGAGAAGTTGGCAGAGTTTTATTAGGTATGCCGTTGTACTTCCATTATCATTCCTTACAGAATAAAATGCAGAATAAGAATTCATAGAGCTGAATGATGGGTTAATAGTGATGGCAATGATCATAATTATTAACATCCACTACTTCTTTCAACCAAATTTATATTAAGCAACAAAAGTTGAAATTGGATGTATAATCATCTGCATCACATAAGCTATTACAAGCTCGACAGAAAATTACATTACTATGAGAAAATCCTCATGTGTGGATATTAAGATTTATTAGTGCACTTAAGAGTTCAATCATTATAAATCACAAAAACAAACTTTTGCCAGTTCATCCTGATATGTTTTCTCATATTGTGATTAACAAAACTGGAAATTGGGTGGGATATGCGAGTGTATAATGTTGATGAGGCATGGAAGAAAAAGAGGGAGTTTATCGAGCATGCCCTAGCATTTACAAAGTTTAACGAAAAAAAACACAGCATATCAGCAAGTTCAAGAGGACTTGCTCTGTAAAATTAAGATATTAATTACAAAACAAGAAAACATCTGAAAAAAATAAATAAACTCACTCACTTGAACATTATTTGAATCGCAAATAACTGAGACAGAAAGGGAGCAATTCTCCTTGGAACCACTGGAAATCATCTTGACAATGACACCTTTTTGTGGATTATCTTTTTCTGTTCATTAAATCATTGGTAAAATAGCGCTGGTTTTTGAATAAAAAAGAGAGTAATAAAGCACATAAGGACAAATAACATGCTAATTTTAAAATAAAAAATTAGAGGAGATTAGAATAATTTGAAATATTTAGAGCAATCAGTATTTGACACGTGCTACACAAGATGATAAGAAGCGTCAAGCAAGCTAACACTTCAAATTAAACTACCAAAAACAAAACGATTTATAGAAATCCCAACCAGTTGAAGCAAAAAATAAGGAATACAGAGAAGGTTACAAAGAATTTTGTAAAACTATTTAGAGATGCCACTGAAATATTGCATCATGTATTACTACCATATCTTTCTCTTCCAACAGTTTCAGTTTCTGATTAAACAGTTATATAACGTATAGAATTCGTTTGTGAATGTATTTGAATATCTGATATACACTAACAAGAATTAGAGAGAATTGGTTTTGTATTTTATTCCAATATTTATGTAGGATTTATAAAATCATATGAGAACTTCTAATGGTAAACATATAAAATCACAAAACAATAATTACAATTGTCCAGCTATTGAAGAGAAGAAAGAATAATTACAAAGTCATAGATTGATAAGTAGACATTGTGAATCCCATAGATTAATGAGATGTTAGCGGAAGAGAAAAGAAAAAGGGTGGAAGTCTATGGAGAGTGGAAGTTCCCCAACAAGTGGAAATTATGTAAGTGTTTCACACTCCTCCAAGCGAATGAATGTGATGAGGACATCTTCAGATATTTCGACACGTGTACCATCGGAGACACCGGAGATCGACGGCTACGATCAGGACCATATATTTTTTGAGTCATTTATGTAGTAGTTTATTTTATTTTCAGTTTTTACTATTTTACCCTTATGGGTGATCATTTGATGTTGTAGCCCCGAGGGCAATTAAGTCTTTGTTTTCTTTTCTTTTGGTGAGACCTATATATAGGTCATTTCTATTGTATTTGGGATGATGAATATTGATATGAAATTTCAGCTTTGATTTTGGATCTCTTTGTGAGTTCTAGAGTGAGTGGTGAAGCCTAGGAGAGGCTCAATCAAAGTACCCAACAGCCCCTGTGTAAAACCCGCAAATGACGTTTTTGACCTCGCACGCTTTTCAAAGCGTCGCGGCGAGATTTAAGCGAAAAATCTGAGGTCGTCGGATTTTGGCGAAGTTAATTTTATAAAATAGAGCGCAAAATTCTGATCAAATTGGTATATAGAACTTGTATTTGATTTCGCTTAGTTTAGGATTTATAATTTCTTGAAAACTCTTAATACCCAAAGTACCCCCACTCCTTATTCTTGCATGGGTTACTTAAGTGAGGGCATGGGGGTCATTTAGCAAACTCTTTCCTCTCTATTAGGCCAAACCGAACCACCTCTCCCTCATATCTTTCGGCCAAACCAAGAGAGAGCGGAAGAGAGGCGACGGGAGAGGCGACGGGCAAGGTCTTGAGCGGCGGCTCCGGTGGCTTTTTCCGGAGAGGAATCTTAGGGGAATCGAAGGGGAAGCCAAGGGGAGGATAAGGTATGCATTAGAACTAGGGTTTTCCCCATCCTTCTCAAGATATGTGGATGAGAAGATTTTTTTTAGGGCTTTGAGAAAAGTTGATTTTTTTCTTAAGATTCTTTTGAGAAATGTTTAGGGAAGGGTAGTGTAATGTTCCTAAACCCTAATGTGCTTTATTCTCTTCAAAAATCTTTCTTTTCTTGTTGTAGTGATGTTAACATTCTTTACTTTATGATGAATTTAGTTTATGCCATGCTACCTTGTCTCTTTCTCCGTCCGATCTCTGTTCCCGCCTCGCACTAGCGAGCTAACCGGGCCGGGTCGTGACAAGAGTGATATCAGAGCAAAGAAATTTGAGGATATTGATTTTTGTGAAAGAGCCAATAGGATGATCTTATAGGTTAGAGTAGGTATAAAGTGGTTGTGCTTTGTATTGCTTATATTGCCTCGTTGTTTTGTTTCTCAGGGCTGAGGAACCTGAGCCTGATGCCACTGATGGCAATGCTGGAGAGGTCAGAAGAGAATTGCCATCAGCTGTAGAGCCTCAAGGCAGTAGTATTAATGCCACTATGGACTCTTTTACCCAAATGATGGATGACATGGCTGAAATGATCAGAAATACTCAGACCCAAATTGGAGGCAGTGGAGGTGCTCCAATGGACAAATATCTCAAGCTCTTTCAAGACATGAAGCCTCCATCTTTTGTAGGTGGTGGACCAGTTCAGGCAGAGGATTGGTTGATGAGAGTGGAGAAGATATTGGAAGGTATGGCATGCCCAGTGGACAGAAGGGTCACCTTAGCTGCGTATGCTTTTAATGGAGAAGCAGAAAGGTGGTGGAGAAGCCAATTGGAGGAAACTTTTAAAGGAAGACCTAGCAGTCAAGTGACTTGGGATGAATTTGTCAAAGTATTTAGAAATTGGTATGTACCAATGTCTGCTAGAAGACAAATGCAAGACAAATTTAATAGATTGGTGCAGGGAGACAAGACTATTACTCAGTATGAGGCTGAATTCACCATGCTCTCAAGGTATGCCTCACATGTAATCCCTAATGCAGAAGAGAAATGCCACCGCTTCCTATGTGGCTTGAGGGATAGCATTAGGCAACCTTTGGTCCCTTTGGGCATTGATGACTACTCTATTTTGGTGGAGAAAGCACGAAAGATTGAGCTAGATTTGCAGAGTACTCAGAGGAGGAGAGATTTCCAGAAGAGGAAGAGTGAGGATAGATCAAGGCCTACTCAGTCCTTTCAGTCAAGAAGACCCTCTTGGAAGAAGCTTAAATCAAACATTTCAGAGAGCAGTACTTCTTCAGCAGTATGCAATAAGTGTGGGAGAACTCATAGGAGAGAGTGTCTATCTGGCACCAATACATGCTTCTGGTGTCACCAACCAGGACACATGGCAAAGTCTTGTCCTCTCCTAGGACAAAGACCTACTACAGATGCTAAAACAGGAAACACTCTTCCTCAGAGGACAGCTGGCAGGCCAAGAACTGTAGAGTCTACTGGATCTACCCCATCACAAGGCCAAGCTCGTCCACCTGTTCAACCCAGAATTTATGGATTGTCGCAGAATGAGGCCAAGCATTCTCCTGATGTAGTCACAGGTATGAGATTTGTTTATGTCATTAATTTTCCTACATTATGTACATGGAATGAATGTTTAAAATTATGTTATCAGGGACAATCTTTTTGTATAACAAACCTGTAAGAGTGTTATTCGATACTGGAGCTTCACACTCCTTCGTTTCGGAAGAGTTTGTTGAGTCTACTCTCCTGCCTTTTTCATTTATAATGAAGCCATTGTCCGTGTTAATGTCAAATGGAACTCATGTAGAAACTAATCGGAGGTGTCATGTGGAGATGACTATTGGTGACAAGAACTTAGAAGCGGATCTTATTATATTGCCCTTAGCAGAGTTTGATACCATCCTAGGAATGGATTGGTTATCCTCTTATTTTGTAACGATAAATTGTAATAGGAAGGAGGTTATTTTTGGGTTACCCGGAGAGAGGAAGACTAAATTTCTAGGAGACAGAGGAGTAACTGCTATTATGGTTTCATCCTTAAAAGCTTACCAGTTATTGAGGAAAGGGCATGAAGGATATTTGGCTTATGTTAAGGAAGAGAAGAAGGAAGGTAAGGATTTGCAGGATATACCTATCGTGCAGGATTATCCAGAGGTGTTTGCTGATGATTTACCTGGCTTGCCTCCGAGCAGGGAGATCGATTTCACCATTGAGCTGGTTAGTGGAGCGGATCCTGTTGCTAAAGCCCCTTATAGGATGGCCATCAAAGAGTTGAAGGAGCTGAAGGAGCAGTTGGAAGAGCTGCTTAATAAGGGTTTTATCAGGCCTAGCACTTCGCCTTGGGGTGCTCCTGTGCTCTTTGTGAAGAAGAAAGATGGGAGTTTAAGGCTTTGTATAGACTACAGAGAATTGAACAAACTGACTGTGAAGAATAAATATCCTCTTCCGAGAATTGATGATTTGTTTGATCAGTTGGAGGGTGCCTCTGTGTTTTCCAAGATAGACTTGAGATCAGGATACTATCAGCTCAAGGTCAGAGAAGAGGACATAGCAAAGACAGCATTCAACACTAGATACGGGCATTTTGAGTTTACAGTGATGCCTTTTGGCCTAACAAATGCCCCTGCAGTGTTTATGGATCTCATGAATAGAATCTTTAAGGATTCTTTAGATCAATTCGTGATTGTATTCATAGATGACATACTTGTTTACTCCCCAGATGAAAGAATGCATGCAAATCATTTAAGATCAGTATTATATACCTTAAAAGATAATGATTTGTATGCTAAATTCTCCAAATGTGAGTTTTGGTTGAAGAGTGTACACTTTTTGGGTCATGTGATTAGCAATGGAGAGATCTCTGTGGATCAGCACAAGGTGCAAGCTATAGCAGATTGGCCACGACCCACTACTGTGACGGAGATCAGGAGCTTTTTGGGTTTAGCTGGTTATTATAGAAGGTTTGTTGAGGGGTTTTCTCGTATAGCTATGCCCTTGTCTAGATTGACTCAGAAGGCAGTGAAGTTTGTATGGTCAGATCAATGTGAGGAGGCTTTTCAAAGGTTGAAGCAATGTTTGGTGACTGCTCCAGTGCTTACCATTCCGTCAGGGACGGATGGATTTCAGCTTTATAGTGATGCTTCTCTTAAAGGATTGGGTTGTGTATTAATGCAGAATGGAAGGGTCATTGCTTATGCTTCAAGGCAACTTAAGAACCATGAAAGAAACTATCCAACCCATGATTTAGAGCTAGCTGCAGTGGTTTTTGCCCTTAAGATATGGAGGCATTATTTGTATGGGGTGAAGTGCGAAGTTTTTACTGATCATCAAAGCTTGAAGTACATTTTCACACAGAAAGAGTTGAATTTGAGGCAGAGAAGATGGTTGGAGCTTATCAAGGATTATGATTTGGATATCCAATATCATCCAGGCAAGGCAAAT